AAACGAGGCTATTCCTAGCTAAAACGGAAGTGACGTCACAACACATCAGTTTGCGCCATTTTTAGAAAGTCTTCTATTGACCTGTGCGTGTTTTCCGGCGAATAATGGCCAGCAAAAGTGTCGGACGCATGTGTGTTGTAGCGGGATGCAGCAAAAGACAGTCAGATGGCGTGTCGGTTCATGTTTTCCCCAAAGATGAGCGACTGCGAGCGGCCTGGTGTCGTTTTGTGAAGCTGACGAGGGCAGACTGGTCTGGTCCTTCGAAATACACCGTTATCTGCAGTGACCATTTCAACGAGGATTGCTATGAGGTACATTTCTCGCTCATGAAGGACTTTGGGATCCCAGCGAAGAAGCGTCTACGCCAGGGGTCCATACCAAGCATATATCCCAAGCGGAAAAGAGACCAACTGAACGATGCGTTCCTGGAGTCTCCCCATGTAAACACCCCTACTCCAGTACGAGGAGCCCATGCAAAGCGTGAGAGGAATAGGGTTAGTTTTTTTTGTTCTATTCTATTTTGTTTTAATCTATAAATGGTGGTGATTCGATAATAAAAAAATATTAACTTCAGAAATTTGTAGACTTTTGGTGAGAAAATTCGGAATGAGAAAAAAGACCTCATCTGCACTAAAAATGCTTTCATGTTCTTTGTTTGTTAAACAGAAAGTAAATTACACTGGGTATTCACTGAAATATCTTAAACTTATTCAAATTTATATTATTTGTTTGTGTTAAAATTTGTTCATTATTTTATCGCAGGTATTGGCAGAGCTGCTTCATGACAACACAGAGGTTGAAGAAATACAGGAAGAGTCGCAAGACCAGGATGAATGTGTTGGGATCCAAACAACGCCTGTTCCCTTTCCCACACCTGTTTCGGTATGTTATAACATATTTAAGAACCAAAAAAAAAAAATAGAGAGAAATGTGTAAATTGTTACATTCCTTGCACCTTAGCTTTATATAATTATGTTTACACAATATATGTAGTACTAAACCAACTGAAAAGAAAGAATGATTTTATTAAATTTTCTCTTCTTATTCCACATGCTGATGCATCTTTTATTTATCTTTTTTTAGGTCATTATTTAAAAAAAAAAAAATCATAGATTCTCATCTAATTCTGTCTCAATTTCTTTTCTGTTAAATTCTTCATCTTGATTCCGATTGGGATCGGTATTCAACTTGCTATTCAACTTTCGGTTCTAAGTCCCATGAGGACCATGAATGTAAGAATGATTTTTACAACTGATAAGTTGGTTATTACTGTATTGCGTATTAAACAAGGATAGATTGGTGAGGATCCGATGTGTAGTAAGAGATATGTTTATTTAAATTGACATCTCCTATGACTTTTGTTTGGGCATAATTAAGATAACTCTGCACAGATTGATTAGGTCAACAAAAATATACGAAATAAAAAATGTAGTATAAATTTGTCAGCTTGCCTCGTTTAAGAAAAAGTTCAATGATTATTTTGTTAAATATAAATGATGTTATCATGCATCTTGTGCATTATTCACAATATCATGAAGATTTATTCAGTTCAGATATAAGATTAAAAGAGATGGTTATTACATTCTTCATCGCTGTGTTCTTCTGAATTTAAATTACTTGACCCTAAATAAATAATAACCAAATCTAAATTTCCTGCTTAACATGTCCACAATACTAGACTCTATGCAAATAAGTCCATATGTGTATGAGTAAACTATTATGAAATAAAACAGAAACTTGCACTTGTTCTAAATTTAGTGAAAGGAAGAAAAAATTGTACTATTCATACGAGTATTATTAAAGAAAAGAGATAAAAATATTGCTGTAAAGTATGCAGGCCACAATTATACTTCTACGGATTACTTATTAATCTTTTTTCTGTTCATTTTAGGAGGAGAAAAGTGTGTCTATGGCATGTCAGACAGAATCAACACGAAAACGTAGCGTAAAGATTCAAGTTGCTGCAAGGAATAAGGAAAAAGGTACTTATTCGAAGTAACTTGTTGCAACATAAGATAATAATATGTTGTAATTGTCATTCTTTATTCTTTGATTATTACTGCAATATACCTGGTACTCTCAATCTGATTCCCCATGGCTAGTTTGGCTTTTTTTTAAAAAACATTTATTATATTAGAACATGTACATTTATGGACTATGACCCCTAGGCTGGTATTGAAAGACATACATTCAGGGATTATTACATATTTACTCATTGATGATTATTATAACTGAATTATATTATGTAGTATCGTTTATATACCCCCTTTCACCATTTCTTTTTAAATTTTGAAAAGAGAGGAAAACATTTAACTTATCAGTACCTAATTTGTGTGTAGTATTCAATTTTAAAAAATTGCAAGTTCAGATGCATAAGACTAATTAGATCATTGTTCTTCCTCCTAAATATAAATTTTAAGAGAAAAATCTTGTTTTCTCACAATGACATATAATGTTTATATGTAATTTGTTAGGATTACAAGTTGACCTACAACCCAGAGTTCGAAGCATTGGTATTCAGGTTGATGTACGAGATGATTTGCCTGCTCCACGTCCACCTCCAGCACCTGTTCCTGTTCCTGATTCCTCTAGTGGTGAAGAGTCTATCCAGACGGAGAATGAGACTGCCTCATTGTATGAACCTTCTGGCACTAGTTCAGATGATTCTCATGTACAGGATATCAAGTAAGTGATTAGGCTATGGTCATTGATCAGTTACCTAAGAATTGCTTCAAAAAGTTTACTATGAAGAGAAAATGAATATGTTAGCCTCAATTCTTTTGGCAATTTTTATTTCCCTGTAATTAATTTAATCTTTTAAAAATTGTAGCACTGAAGCACCCTGCAACCCCTTGGAAGACAGGAAGTTTATCATCTCCGAAACCAAGCTGCTTGAGCTGTTCAGTAACTGCAGGAGGTGCCACAAGTATACAGCAGCAAGTGTACAGCAGGTGCTTGGAACAATGGTGAAGATTGCTGTGGAGTGTGAGTTCTGTGGGTTTACCTGGCAGTGGAGCAGTCAGCCATTCATTGGGAATATTCCTGTTGGGAACATTGGGTTATCTGCCGCCATACTGTTTTCTGGTGCCCTTGTGTCCAAAGTTCTTCGTGTGCTGAACTGCATGGGGGTTGCAACCATTACCAGAAGAACATTCAATTCCCACCAGTCAGCCATTTTGTTTCCTGTAATTGCTCGTGTGTGGGACAAGCACCAGCAGGAGTATGCAAGTCGAGCTTTGGAAAGAGGAGATCCTCTGGTTATTGGTGGAGATGGGCGAGCTGACTCCCCTGGTCACTGTGCAAAGTTTGGCTCGTACAGCACCATTGACCTTGAGGAAGGAATTGTCATTGATATCCAGCTGGTTCAGGTAAACAAGTTATTTCGATAAATATCTGCACTTTTTATTTAAATTAAAGATGAACTGTTTTAAAAAAAAAATATTATTTTATCATTATTTTAAATAAAACTATCACTCAAACACTGCTGAAAAGATTCAACAAAGTATACATGAAAATAAAATGCTAAAAAGGATCTAATGAGGGGAAAAAATGTGTACTAACTTCAGGTGTTTGGTTGAAGTTTTGTGAAGTTAATGAAATCTGATTAAATTTTGTAGAGCAATGAAGTAAAAAACAGCTTGGGAATGGAGAAGAAGGGATTAGAGCGGACTATTGCCTGGATGAAAGACCAAGATTTGGAGATTGGTACGATAGTGACTGACCGCCATGTCCAGATACAAAAGTGGATCAGGGAGAACTTGACGGAGACGACACACTATTATGATGTTTGGCATGTGGCAAAAGGTATTCTTTTTCTTTTCTTTCTTTACCAGTATTTGAATTGTATGTATTTAAAGACATCTTTGTACAGAATCAACATTAGCTGATGTTTAACTTTTATAATGACTTCTACTGAGTTATCTCCAAAGTTATTATTAACATGTATGATTTAAAAAGTTATGAATGTAAAAGATGAAATGAAGCAGTTAAATTATGATTTTTATATGCCCATCTTAAGATGGGACATATTAATTTTACTCTGTAAACATGGCTTCCAAAATATTTTCAGGTCTAAAGAAAAAGATCCTAGCTGCATCCAAACAGAAGGAGTGTGAGAATCTTGCCAAATGGATCAAGAGCTTGACCAACCACTTGTACTGGGTGGCAGCTTCAACACCTGATGGGAATGGGGACTTCATGTGGGCAAAGTGGGAGTCTGTGGAAAACCATATCCACAATATTCATGAGGGCCACAATGACCTCTTCCCATCTTGTGCCCATGACACGTTAGAGGGTGATGAGCAGAAAAAGAAGTGGATAAAACCAGGTAAAACCTTATTTTAGAATTGATAAATAATTATTACTTTCTTTATTGGCAAATTTCATAACTGCCTTGTTAAAGGGAAAAATCCTGTACAATAAGTATACATTTTGTTTTCATAAAGGAACGAAAGCCAGTGAGAAGATTTGCGATATTATCCTGTCCAATCAGATGAAGAAAGATATACCCAAGCTGTCCCCACTGCACCAAACATCCCAGATTGAGGCTTTCCATAGCACTATCAATCACTTTGCCCCCAAGATGGTTTCCTTCTCTTATCATGGCATGTACTGCAGGTATGCTTACACAGTAATATTGGATATTTTTTTATATCATTTCTTATTTAAATTTCTACAATACAGAAAGCAGATGGAGATTTTATTTATTGTAATCTACAAGGTTAAAAATTTTATGTAGGTTGATGGTTGCTGCTCTCCATTTTAATGAGAACTCTTCAAGAATGCAGGCAGTTACAAAGGAGGGAAACCTGCAGTACAAGATCAGCTTTCCCAAGTTCAAGCATGGCGAATATAGTGTTCGCATGAAGACTGTAGATTCAACGTTTGGTAAGATGCTTTTATTAACGCACCTTTAAAAAAAAAAAAATTTGTAAAAGTCCCTCCTCGTTTAAAAATTGAACAACCAAAAAAAAAAATGTATATATAAATAACAAAATATGTTGAATTTAATTTTATTCAATACCAAGCAAAACACGAGAATGATACTTGTATTTATCAACAGAGATAGAGTCCTCAATATTTTACAAATTTTAAATATTGTCTATGCATTTCAGGGTATGCATCTGATTTGATGACAGAGACTCTACGATATGTTGAGGTATCATCCCGGACACCAGCACCCGCCTTTCCACCTGCGCTCTGTTTGCCTCAGTTGCAACCACCTCCTCTGTGCAGTGATTTTCTTCACCCTGAAAAGGAGGAAGCAGTGTTTAATTTCCAGTCTCGGTTTGGGAGGAAGGAGACATCTGTGTAGGAGATTCTAGCCCTTGTATACATAGAACTGTAAATATCAGTTGTGGATACTCATGCTGTAGTTTGTCATAGTCTGTTTGTAAATAATTGTATAAATAGTGTTATAGTTAGCATTTACTTGTAAATTTGCATGTAGGAAAACAAAAATAAAATTGCAAAAAAAAAAAAAAAAATGGGAACAAAAAAAGCAGGGTCCACGTCCCGTTCCTGGGTGCAAAAAAAATTACCTATGTAATCAAGATTTTTTTTGTAGCTGATGCTTTTATAAATTTTATTGTAATATGTACATGAGGCTTATGTTTTGTCAATTATTTTGAACTGCTTTTTGCTTGTATGTGTGACTAGGCAAGGTTGTTTTCTGTATCCTATGCTTAACCATTTCTCATTTATAAGATTTATGCTGTGTAAACTTTATATTTATTTAATTTGTAAAATTGATAGTAAAAGTTGATAATATGGTGAATTTTTGTTAATCCAAAATATAGAAGTGGCTTACTCATTCAGGGTCTCTGAATCCTTGATACTCTTCAGAACTGAAGGAATGGTGTATCTTTGTAACTGCACAAGAGGGAAGTGGGACACGAACACTCTTCCCCAAGTAGCCCCAACACCAACGAACAAGCTGACGATATGCTGTATATCTGTTTCTTCTTAATTGAATAAAAGAAAATCATGTTATCATGCACTTGTTACTACTTGTGATAGTCTTTGTGATTTTCTTCAAATGCTGTATTTCATTTTTGGAACAAATATGTAAAAATTCAATAAAATGTCTTACTGTTCAATGGTCTTTTGCAATTCCCCATACTGGGAACGATACTGATAATAGGCTGTCTCCAAGACGTAGATGTCGAGACAAACAGATTGGAATCCAGGGTGTTCTGTAATGCAAGGCAATTCTTTCTGATAAGATGTTCTCTTTTCATCAATCCTGGTGATTTCAGTGCAGCATATACTTTCTCTGAGTGTGGGTTTCGGAGTACAGAATCCACAAGTGCACCTACAATATTCAAACATGATTACATGGAAGTTATATTAGACACATCTTCGCAAGCCAAGGGTTTTCGGTCCACTTTTCTCCCCGCGAAGCAGACCGAAAACCCTTGGCTTACGAAGATGCATTAGACATAATGATTATTTATCAACTTTAATCTTTAAAAAAAAAATACTCCAGAAGTCCCATACATGTAGATAATGTGCATAGAGCAATACAGTTTTTGTTTTCAACTTATCATCAGGTATAAAGCATGGCCGTAGGAAGGGGGGGGGGTTGTCCCCCTCAAATAATTTTGCCGATATCTAGATTACTATAGAAAACATAGCTACTATATGCTTGTTGCTTGTGCCCCCTCAATGAAAACGTCTGATGACCTTTTTTTTTTGCTTGTCAAGGAATTTTGGTAGTTGATAGTGCCCCCCCCCCAACTGAAAATGTTCAGCTGTGCCCCCCCCCCCAACTGAAATTGCTTCCTACGGGCCTGTAAAGGGGCAAAATTTTATTCTCAGAGTTAGAGGTTCTGACAAATTTAGTTGTCATCTTAATTTTCTGCCATCGCAGAAAAAAAAACATGTCCAAACTCCATGACTATAGAGACCAGAAAAGTTGACAAGCTACAAAAAAGTAGTAAACTCTTTGGGCGTGTATATACCACTTTTCAAGATCAGATTAATTATTTCCTTCTCATTGAGACAATTTTCAAGAATAGATCTAAATCTGCTAGCCCATAAGATTCAAATGGTCGTCCCGAACGAATATTCAGCCATGTTGCATGGGTGTAATTTACATGGCCTCATTTCTCGCAACATTTGGCTTATATAGTAATATTTTTATTAATTATTATTAGTTCAGACCATGCGAAATTCTATGAGTATAAAATATATATTTTTCTTTGTATTATACCAGAGAGTTTTAACGTGAAAGTCATACCAGTCCGTATTGCCGAGCCGCTGTGGGTTGTCGACATCGTCCTCACTTGAGCCATCAGATTCACTAGAATCACTCGCCTCAGGTTCAAATCGATAAGGGGCTACATTCTGGAAATGTTCTTCTTGTGTTTCTTCGAAGGATGAGGCCTCAAACGACATATGTAGGTCGATTAATTAAAATTACCTAGATAAACATTCTTTCAAGCATTATTCATGAAAATAAAAAAAAAAATCTTGATGAATTATTTTGGCTTAGATATTGGAAGAAAAAAAATGTGCTTATACATATACCTTACCTTCTAATTCATTGAGAGCAATAATCACATTTTGTTTCGAACGTTTTACAAATGAATAAAGCAGTCCTACCCCTGTTCAGTCATTTGAAATCGATTACATTACTGTACATTGGTAAATATAGGTTTTTAAAAATGGAGGAGTTATGCAGCATTGAATCTTCTTAATATCTGATAAACATTCATTTTAGAATACTTGGGGTTTGAATGTTTTCTTTTCAAATAGTCTACCTAGCGCTTTAAACACAAAGACAACAAATGTCTTTTTTTTTCAAAATATTTTAGAATTCACTGACATAAATTGTAAAAGATTTTTTTTTTTCACATTGATTTAGCATGTTCTTCAAATAAATGTTTGAGTAAGACTACCTACTAAGGATAGACCTTAAGAAAAAAATTGAGACTATTTACTTGAACGTTTTGAAATCGTTATTTTTAAAATACATAGATTGAAAATGGCATGGTTTCAAGACAACTTCAAGGTATTTTAAATAGCTCCTTCAAATCATCACATCATCTAGTAAGATATCACAGTCTGTATTAACTTTCAGGAAGAAGGGGAGTCCAGTTTTATAGATGTTTAGGTCATCCATAGCCATGAAGATATAACCTTAATAAATGTTGATATTTATTGATTCTACCTGTAATAAGGACAACTCTTCCAGGATTTTTTTTTCGCCACAAACATAGCACAGTGAATTCAATTTATCAAATACTTTAATAGATAGGAATTGACTTCATTTTATATAAGAATTTAATATCCAGTTATGTGAATACATTCGAGGGGTCTTTCCGTAATCGTTAATCGTATAAATAATTCTTGACATATTTCGTCAACGTATGCTCTATTTAAATAAACAAGAAGACTACAAATGTGTTCTAATATAATGTTTATGTTTGATCAGATATATATTTTATATATGTATCTTTTTTAATAGGCAAAATAAAAAAAAATACAAGAAATAGAAACCGACGAAACGTGCCAAAATTATCAGATCCTTCTTTAAAACATTAAGACAAAGTTAATAGTTTATTCTGTTTTGTCACCATAATCAGAATTATGAGTGAACTTTCGCTTAATTTACAGTGTCTGTTTAAGTAATATAATTTGATAGATAACTGCAAAATATAGATGAGGTAAGGTACATATTATAATCAGTTCACCGTTCTCAACGATCATATTATTATATTATATCATTAAAGAAACACAACACGGCTGGGTAACGACATCGTGTTTAAACTACAATTAACATCTCGAGAACTGACCAATTATCCCCGCGATTTCAATCCAAATTAGCTTAAATGGATTGGTGAAAATACATTTCATAATTTTTTATTTGTATTTTTCAAATTGAAAATTGAATTTTCAGGAAATTGCGTTCATTTACACATATTTCGATTTGCATGAAGACGATGTACTAAGTGCAAACTTAGGTGTAGCCTTAACGTAACCGATTTTATATGCACAATTAAAACCATTGAATTAATTCTATATAGGAATTATTTCTTTTTTATTGTACCAGAAAATTCATATTAGTATATTGAGGTTGTAATAATCGTATAACACCACGTTAAATTACATGTATAATTTCTTGAAGTATTCTTCAAGGCTATAAAAATTCAATCTCCTCGAATGTTTTTACATCAAAATTGGTTTCATTCAGTTTTCCATAATAACAACTCTTTTTATTTCTTAAAACTTCTCTCTCTGGAATATTGAAAAAAAAAATATCTTGAACAAATACTTATATTATAAAAGAAATATCATAAATCTATATTAGATGGTTGCCAAAAAACTGTGTCACTGCTGATTCTTTTCATATTCACAGTATTTGATATATGCTATAAACGATCTATGAAGACAACGAAAAGTAATCAAGGTCAAATTCCAATCAAACAATAAAATATGTGAGCAGAGCAAACACAAACCTCTGAAATAGAGGTTGGACCATGTACCATTGACGTCTGACCATGTACCATGGTGTAGTGAACATCCCCAGTCGACTGGTCAGACCCGCTGTGTGCTCTTTGTCATGATCAGGTAAACTGAAAAAACCGTAGAAATTCCGTGTGGAAATCTTGGCGTAACATTAAAAATTCGTATGATAGACGTCAGTAACATTCGAATTAAGATAGATTTATTTGCAAACCGGGTCATTTATCGTACATAAAATGTGCAAAATATTGATTTTTAACAAGAATATTGGTATCTTGATATCTTTGTACCACCAACTTATTTGTCAGTAGCCTGCCTCGTTTAAGAAACCGATTGTACGTACAACATGCTCGTGTATATCGAATTTGGTAAACCTAAACCCTATATGTATTTGACAATGATGCATTGTTACATAAAAAACTGAAGTTTTTTTTAAAAAGAAAATTCTGCTTTAAAGAATACTGCTACTGCAAGGAAGCAACTGGGACCCATGGTATTTCTTGCTGGAAGAACTGGTCTCCAATGATTACAAAGATATTGTTTATGAAAACTCCAAACATCTTTTTGTATAAAAATATTTTACAATTTCTAAAAAAAAGTGCTTAAAATGATTTTAAAATGACTTAATGTTTATATTATTCTTCAATGCGATTAATTTTCCACTTTGTAAAGGTTGAAGGTTTTTTAAGCAAACTTACTGAACATTTCTTTCCTTTCTTAATGGTAATAAATCAAACGACGTAGACATATTTTCACATTTTTAACATTTTCTTCTGACATAATTGGATTTCAGCTAGAAAACATGTTAAACTTTAAAAGAAAGTGCGCTGATAAAACGGTTTTACTTTTTTTTTCTTTCTTGTACATTTCTGATATCATATGATGTCCTCAACTCATCATTATCAGGAATGATTGCAAAACAAAATACCAGATCTAAACTCAAAGTTCAGTTGATTTATATTGTCATAATTACAGGTACCAGTTTAAATATTCACCTGAATGCTTACGAAGTAAACTTTGCTACCTCTGAGCAAAATACAATCTGAAATATAACTTTTTACAATGTATCCATTTTCCATCATTTATTTATTAATCGAAAGAAAAAGTGCAAACAACTTAGGTTTTGATACCGTTCAAGTTTGACAGTTTTAAGAGCACGCCTGGAATCGATTGAGTGGAGGAACACAATACGCATCTCTAACTGTGCTAGAGCTCCTTCTACAATCCAATACTCTAGGATCAACCGAATCTTTCCACACAGAACATAGAATAAATTATTGCCATCCTTGACTACAAATCAAAGATTCTGAACACATATATGCCCTGGCTTTTGGAATTGTGTCTTGCGAAATGCTTGGGTGTGAAAACATCTTAAGCATCGTAAAAAGTGTTGATGACATGATTGCATTTTCTATTTCAGCTACATTTTGGTTTAATCTAATAGCTTGGAGATTGTATCCCCAGTAACAAATTGAAGTGGGAATTATATGTTCAGCAATGAATCGCAAAACTAAGTATTTGTTTCGAAATTCATTACCTTGGACCTGTCGAAATATCAAACATGGAATCGTTAGATTTTTGATACCAAATTCTATAACTTGTATCTTATCTCGTATTTCAGAGCTGAGACAAATGCCCGAATTCAAATAGTTGTATTTTGTTGATTCACCCGATCTTAACAGTTTGAGATTATGACCCCAGTAACAATCAATTGTTGGTAGAATATCTTTAGCAATGTATCTTAATAGCTCAAATAAATTCGAAAAAATAGGTTTGGGCATTGATATTTGACTTTCATAAACTTTGACCTCTTCAAAAAGTTTTGATGGTTGCTTTTTGTGCAATTGAACGCTTTCAGAAACAACTTCTAAAATTCGTTCTGTTACCTTAACATTTCTTAATTTTGTTCTTAATTGATTGACGTTCGTGGAGAGGTAAGTTAAACGTGGTTTTAAATGAGAATTCACTAACATGCGCAGGGTACTGAGAGTAGTTTTGGAATAGACACGTTCTTCAAAACATCTTTCCGACACACCATAAGTAGAAAATATCTGCTGATACAGATCTGAAAATATATGATTTGATTTTCTCCCAGCAAAAGAAAGCCGTCGTAGGTAGTTGACAACATTTGAACAAAACGATTTTTGAAACTGAATCATTGCAGAATGTGCCCTTTGTAGGTCATTCCGGGCCCTAAGATATTCTGATTTAGATCTCTGCAACCTATCCCTCAATCTTCTTTCCTCTTGTACGCTAAAAACTATATCGACAATTGCAAAACCAATGGCAAAAACGCCAGAAATTATTGCAAGAGCGGCAGCTAATGCTGATGCAGCTACACTGATAATTGATGGGAGAGTGAAGAAGTCGACCATTAATTCTATTTCCAAACCAATTATATCCATTTTTGCTTCATTTCTTGTTGCATTTAGCCAGCTTCTGTATTCAAAAAGCATGGTAGCAAGATCAGGAACATCGAAAATTAGGGAACCCAAATGCTCATTGAGTTCTGAGAGCTTAGAACTCAATTGTACATGCAGCTCTTTGATTGTCAACAAGGCGTGGTTTATATCCAGAATCAATCGTTGAAGACTTTCGACGTTTTCTTTTATCCTATCTGGGTCTCCAAATTTCGTCAAAAAATTTCTCTTTAATCTATCAACCTGTGGTTTGAAGGAATTTTTAATTTCATCCCTGCAAAAGAACACTTCATTTAAAATGAAATACTATGTACATACAAACATTCCTTGATATCCTTTTTCGTGTTGAGTCAGAAAATGGTGGTATTATAATATTGTTTTCTTTCGATTGATAGCTCGGTACTAGTTTTTCAATACGTTTGGTAAGCAAACAAAGAAGTAAGCAGAACTTAATTCGATAGCATAATGCTTATGCATAGAAATCGGACTTCTTTTACATTTCATGGTATAATAGGTATGCAAGAAATAGAAAAGGTTTGGGAAAAAAATCGTCACGTTTTCTTTTCTACAATGCAAATCGTCTAACATCAAACTGTTTGTTAACATTTCCAGACATTTCTAATGCGCAATATGTAAATTGGTCGAAAACTACGAGTTACAGTATACCTAATGACTATGATCTAAGTAATTTAAAAATACGATAATAAAAAAAATCTCTTCAGCGCAAATAGTCACAAGGCCGGTGATAATCTCTATATATGTATTTCAATTAGCTTTTTGACTCCTCATTTTTCGGAGTCAAAAGTACCATCGAAACAATGCTTTTTGCATTGATAATATCAGAGGTCAGATAAACTTGCTTTTCAAATTTCCATCATTTGGAAATTGAAGTTTGTTAGTCTCAAATAAGCATGATTGTAAAATAATAATAATAATGAATATAAGAATACTTTGATAATTTATCTCTAAAATTAGCGTGATCAATACTTAAAAACTGACAAATTAACATGAATGTATATTGTGGCCTGTATAGGAAGAATTTGTTCAAATAAATAAGACCAGTCACGGTAGCCTAGTGTTACGGCGCTTGCTTCAAACGGGGTTCGATTCCCTTTCGCCGCGCCCGCGTCGAACCTAAGACGTTAACATAGGTAATGACTGTTCCTTTGCCAAGCGCCCGGCACTAGAAGTGAAAGTCACGGGTCTTTCGGATGAGGCATAAAAATCCGAGGCCCCGTGTCACCCTTGCTGCCCAATGGCCCTGAGTGCCGAGTATAGGTCTTAATTTGAAGCCCTTCACCGGCATACGGTGATGTCTTTATATGAGTGAAAAATTCTCGAATGGGACGTTAAACAACATACAATCAATCAGTCAAATGAATAAGAGAATTCGTGTAAATGTAGGTCACCACTAAGAAATCTATTTGATTGTCAAGTTCATTTACTTTTTAACCCGTATTACACCTAAGCAAACTAGAATTCCCGTTAAAATGTTAACTATTTCTAATAATTATGAAATTCTGGTTGGGATCAGTTTAATTTCGATCGAAATTGGCCAAAATTTAAAAAAAAATTCTCTAAAATTTCGCAATTTCATTTCAATTTCTTTTATAAATCTGATTATCTATCATATCCTTTGTAGCCGTAACTTGTTTTTTGAATATATTATCAATAGATTTTGAAAATATTTACAAATGATGTGTTTTATTGTCATTGATAATTTATTTATAAAAAGAATGTCTATCTGGCTTTTCTATATTTATTTGATTAGATATTCAAAATATGCAATTCTAAACAACATTTTTTTTTTCAAGTCAAAGGCATCTTTTTGCAAATATTTTTTTTTAAATTTTCTATGAAAAATTGGGAGACTTTTTTTGAAAAAATTAAGAGCAAATATCGGCTTTCCAATGCTGAAACCATAACAGGGATATCTTAAAGATCTATGAAATAAAATTTCGGTGTGACTCTCCTTAATACAGAATGCTTGATTAAGTACAATTTAATTACCCTTACCTTAGTGTACAAACGCTTGGATAATACAAACAACCTCGTTTTGCCTGTATATAATCTTTAACGTTGTTGACGTTGCAACTGTCGTCACAGCGACCGCAGTTACTATGGCTGCTATGAGCGAACTGAGAAAAATTATTAATTCATGATTAGGTTACGTACAAACATTAAACGAATGAATTTTAAAATGAGTTATAAAAGACATTGTTTTAAGACAAATATTATCGCTTATTAGCAATTTAAATTTATTTACAACAGACATAATTTTGCAATAAGAAAATATGTAAACTAGGAGCATTTAGCTATTACCATATTGTAGTGAAACTGGGTCAATGAAACGACATTGATATTCTTTTTTTAATAAAAAATACTTTACATGTGTCTCGTGGCGTTTAATTAATCATATTAAAAAAACGGAGATGAAAATAGATACTGGGAAAAAAAATTTTTTTCAAAAGTTTTTTTTTATTCTGTCTATTGATACTCACAAAAGGAATTTTGTCTGTTTGTTTTTTATCCGCCCTACATCAGAGTCTACCAATAAACAAAGATGAGACAAAATTTTATTCTTAATGTAAAAGTAGACGACTATGAACAAAGTAAATATCGGAAAATCTAAAAACAAATGCAAATAGTGAACTGGGCAAAACACAACTGGAAACAGAAGAGGTTATCTCAGGTGCCTAAAAGAGTTTTCATTCCCTGTCAATTGCTCAACCAGCAATTGGAGTAATCCGGTTTAAATTAGTATAAATACAAAGGTCTAACAATATATCATCAGTCAAAATTTGAAACAACAATGGGTTTTATTTGCTAATAAGATCCATGTAACGACCATATAATTTGCAAAACGCTGATTTTAAACTAGACTATTGAACGCACTGTAACATTAACTTATTTGTCAAAAACCTGTTTCAGTTAAAAAAAAAAATAATCGTACTCAGAACATACTCTTGTGTACAGAGCTGAAGGACATAAGCATTGTTTGCAGAGTGAAACCATGCCTAATGTACTACAGCTGTTAGTTTCCAATTAACATAATTCAATATTGGTAAAAGATATTCTATAAACTTTTGAATAATACCTTTATTTACGTTTAACGTTTTTGAAATTATGTGTTCCTATGTTAATAACGTCAAAACTGATCTAAGACAAAAACAGCTCCTTTAAAGCAACTATCAGACCATTAGAACTTGTATTTATAACGGCATTAGAGGTACCTTTGACACAATCAATATGAAAGTGTGGAGATATCTTCATGTCTTCGTTAGATCCTTTCATTCTGTTAGCAACCAACATTCCGCCATCATAGTCTTGAGGAAACAAAACCTTTTCTTCTTCAACCATAGATATAAATGTTCCAGTCCTATTTTTTATGCCTAAAAGAATGATGAACAATGAAAGACTACAGACTATTCGGCCAATATGCTCATCGAAATAACTTTTTCTCATTCTTATTTTTTTTTTCGTTTAGAATCTTTAGCTAAAACCTTAACCCCTTTGCTACACAACAATACTTAAGGTTGTGGGAGTGAAAAAGAATTGATAACGAATTTTGCATAACGTTACCAACTAGAAGAGAAATGTCACATTCAGATCTATGATGCGGTATTTAAGTGAGACTGAAGTCTTACTTGGCACATGCCACGTCAAAAAGACACAAGAAAAGTGGAGCACTTGCAAAATAACTAAAAATAAAATAATAAAATAAAAATAAGCAAAATAACACGATTTTAGCACATATACTTTCAGTATTGAGGTCACCTATAAATTTCAATAGTGTATTGATTGATTGATTGTATGTCGTTTAACTTCCAATTGGAGAATTTTTCTCTCATATAAAGACGTCACCGTATGCCAGCGAAAGGCTTCAAATTTAGACCTATACACGGCACTAAGGGCCATTGAGCTGTGAGGGTTTTTATAGTGCCAAAGCCTAACTTGACTCGAGACCTCGGTCTTAAAGGTCTCATCCAAAGACCCGTGACTTTCACTTCTAGTACCACCGCTTGGCGAAGAAACAGTCACTACCTATGTATGTATCTTAGGTTTAATGCAGCGCGGCGGACGAGAATCAATCCCGGGCCTCCCGATCACGAAGAGAGCCTCCTACCACTAGGCTACCATTACCGGTCATTTTAATAGTATAAACCAAATAAATTCTAAGTTTAGTTTATAAAAATTTTCAACACCCATCGTAATTTGTGAAAAATGCTACGATCCTATACAGATTCCACTATTTCATCGTTGAAATCATATTTGTATGACCACATGCTGAAATTTTTGTACTGGTCAACTGCATTAAATATAGAAATAATTTATTCTAAAGATTTTATCGGGTAGCTTAATATTTCTAGAATTTATGCATAAACCTTACCTTAATTTATTGAGTGTATGCCCTTGCACTAGATCGAATTATTAAGTCCCTTACATTACCCTCCAATCTACCTGCATACCAGATCGAATTATTAAGACCCTTACATTACCCTCCAATCTACCTGCATACAAATATAAGGAAGCATCTGTGAACTAGTAAATGCAAGGAAAATACATGGATAATTAAATAAAATCATAAAAAGAGACATTACATCTAAATAAGTGGTCTCTTAAATACCTGCATATAACAATCAATTTAATTATGAAATGCATTTATTTTTGTTGTGAAAATATTACTTGATCCGCCTTTCACTTCGTACAATACAGAATGATGTCACATCGACAAGTGCATCGCGATCAGTGACTTGTTTATACCTTGTGAATTTTTACTAACTACAAAACAGTATGTTTTAGTATCTTTTGATTTAGTTTAAAACGCTTTTACAGTTTCAAATCTAAATCAATTCATTTTGTGGTATTTTAAGAATAGTTTTGAATGATGCCATAGTTAAGTATATAAATAAATATAAAATAGACTCCGCCTCTTTTTTGTAGCCTTAACTGTGCTGCAATTATGGAGATTTTTAATGACATTTTGGGTATGAATCATATTTAAATAGGATAAATTTGTCATGGATCGGACATCCTCTTACTTTTGAAAAAAAAAAAAAAAAAAAAAAAAAAAAAAAAAACACTTGTTAAAATAATTTGAAAGGTAAAATACTAGTAACTTAAAGGAAATTCAACATTTTTCAGATGGATCAATTCCAAATGAATATTCTTGAATCATATGGGGGAAAAAGAAGTCGGCATTTCAACAATGGATCAGACAAAATACATTTTGGGTAGGAAATTCTGAATATGCTTGAATAAAATGTTCTTATTGACGAAAAAAAAAGGAATTGTTAGCGACACATAAAGAAATTGAATTTGACATTTTTCGCTGGAAATAAAACTGTGTTCTAAACCAGCACGCAGTTTTCAAACAGCAGTTTGAAAATTGACCAGATATGTGTTTTTGTGAAACAAACACATTTCGTATGATTAATAACCGAAAACGTATTATGAAGTAATTTAATACAAAATCAATTTTTTTTAATATCAATTTTACAATTTGAGAATTTATTTAATCGTTTTACTCAATGGTGACGAAATTGGAAATAGACTGAAACAAAATACTTAACAACAATCAAGACAAAATACATAAACATACTTCATAATTCCAGTCCATATGTTATAAAGTCTGATGCATGGTGAGATCATATCCGATCCATGGTGTTAATAGGCTATTTTTGAAAATATGTATATGCGCTCAAACCATAATGTTCCTCTGCTTTGCTAAAATTGTATTTAATATTTTAAAAAGTTTATATATGAATGTAAAGTATTTCTTAAAAAGTGACAAATACTCATTTCAAAGATATGTATTATTATTATCTCTTAAGAAGGGACTTCCTTCGATTAGCTCAACAAAATTATCAATCTATTGTAAGAATTATAGTATATAATATATATATATATATATATATATATATATATATATATATATATATATATATATATATATATATATATATATATATAAATTATTACCCATGTAAACAAAATCAAAATTCTAATCCTGTTGAATTACTGATTGATCTAATATATTAAAATTGTCCGATTTAAGGTATGTGTCCGATGCATGGTGATTCAACACCAGCAATACTTTTAATTACCTATAGCCCATGCATTTAGTGTTCTTTCAAAGAATATCACCGAATTGTCTTCTAACATCTGGTATTGGGTGTCATATCCTTTAATATTTCCCTTTCTTCGATAGAAGACAGACTCAGTCGGATGATTAGGCTGGCTGTATGACACCATCATCCATTCACAGAGTCCTATGTTAGCAAAATATCTAAACAAAATAGTCATCCATGCGTGTTCGAATATATTGCATATTCTTTTTTAAGGAATAAGTTTAGATATTTATTAGAAATGATAAGATTGCAATGGAAGATAATTGTACACATACATGATATAAACATTTTTAATCAAGTTAAGTGAATATCATGGAACATCAGACCATCAAAAATTACTTGATTAGACAGGTTTTTATTCAGCATACCGCAGCTTTTGACTTTTCTTGTGTATGAAAGACGTCCTTGACACATGCTGAGAGCAAAGTGGCAAATAGATTGATATTGTTCACCTTGATCATCACACACCATCCCTACTTCTCCGTCACACTTCGAGCGATCGCCACAAATACATCCTACCCCGTCATATTCTTCCCATTTGTTACACCTTTTTGCCATTGAGTCCATAAAATTTAAATAATATCAATCTTCAAAATAATTAACTAAAGTTAATCTTTAAGTGCATTTAATCATTTTTTTTTTATTACGTATCTTGAAATACAAACTTACAAAAAGAATTACATTTATGATTCAATAATAAATCCTAAATTTACCTATATCTTTCTCTTTGGTCACATTTTTATTCTTAACTTTATTCCCGTTAATGGCTAAAACTAAAGATTGAATTAATTGCTTTTGTCTCACAGTAAAGTAAATGTAGTTGACATTTTCGTTCAAAATATAACATGTATACGTACGTAACAATCGTTCATCCGAATATTTATTTGCATTGGGAAGAGCTAAAAATTTAAGTTCCTTAATGTAATTAATTAAAGAAAAATTAATATTTCAAAATTGTTACGATAGCACTGATCTTAATGTACATTATTTTACATGCAGTCAAATAATTTTAAACATTTTAGAAAGATTAATCCTTATAACGTCTTCTGTTTCTATTTGTTCTGAGAAAATGATAATGAGTTATCAGGATTGGTTACTGTAGAAAATTATTCATATATCTATATGAATCATAATATTTTGCATTCAGTCAAATTTATAATAAATCTTTATAAAAAATAAATTCAAAATACTATATAATTGGTCCAAATTCTGTTACTAACATCATACTTTTTCTGTACTTACCTACAAGATCATGGTAAAAAAGAAAAACTGATAGAATAAGCCATAGCGTCTTAGAAGTCATTATGTCGACTCTCTGCAAATGAAATGATTAACATTGTATTTAAAAAAAAAAATGTTTCAACTTTTACTACTTGTTTCAAATGCTTTATAATATTTCTAAGAGAATTGCATGTACTTAAATAATGAAAGGACTGTGGAATTTAACTTACATCTGACGAGTTTCCAGATATAAATGCCAACATATTGATAATCATCCTCTATTTATACGTCTGCACAATGATCGTTATCCAATTAGAATTTACTAACTGCACAAATTATAAAACAGTTCTTTGCCAAGTCTTAGAAATATTATTTATCCTCAAATAATCTTCTATACAGCAAAGATTTTTTCTGTTTATTGTCAGAGAACTTTTGATAATTAATCTGATTGTTTGTTTGTTTGTTGTTTAACGTCCCTCTCGAGAATTTTTCACTCATATGGAGACGCCACCACTTGCCGGTGAAGGGCTGCAAATTTAGACCTATACTCGGCACTCAGGGCCATTGTGCAGTGAGAGATCTTTTTCGTGCCAGCGCTACTGCGACACGGGATCTCGGTTTATACGGTCTCATACGAAGGACCGGTCTCCACGTCCCGCAGTGGGATTCGACCCGCGACGTAAGGATCAACTCTTTACACTGCGACTCCAGAGCAAACGCTCTAAAAACTGGACTACATGATTAATCTGTTATCTTTCTAAAGACGTTTTTCTATGTTTATATTCGTATCTTTAAAGAAATTTAGAAATAGATATTGTTTTATTAATAAACTTTATTTGAAAAAGACCTTTGAAATTTAATCATATGGTCTAAATGTAATTAAAGCGAAAGAATCTACGACATATTATGTTTACAGCTATTTGATACCTCCTTTTACAATCTATGAATTATTTTCCG